TAGCCATGCTGGAGGTTTGACGTAGGATGTCATGGTTTTCATTTGCATTTTCCTAATGGCTAGACATGTGGAACATCTTTATGTGACTGGCCATTTATATGTATGTCTTTAGAGAAATACCTTCAAATCCTTTGCCCATTTTTAAATTAGGTGCTCTATTGTTGACTTCTCAGTTTTCTTAATATATTCATCAGTCCCATGTCTGACAGTTTTTTACCATTTTATGGATTGCTTTTTCACTTGTTTTTGAAACACAAGGCAGCTTTTGATAAAGTTCTGATTATCTTATTTCACTGCATGCATTTTTGATGTTATAGCTAAGGAATCATTGCCTAATTCAACAAAGATTCACCCTGATGTTTTCTAACTTAATCTCTTAGATTTAGGTCTCTGGTCTGAGTTTTTGTATATGATATGGATTTCTCACTATATCAGCAACATTTGTTGAAAGGCTATTTTTTTTTTCCCATCAAGTCTATTTTTTTTCCCCATCAAATTGTCTTGGTGTGGAAAATCATCTTACCATAATCACTTTTTACATAAATATTTGTGTCTATTTCTGGATTAAATATTTGTGTCTATTTCTGGATTCCCAATTCTGCTTGTTCATCTGTGTGCCTATATGTGTGTAGTATTTTGTATTACCCTTTCAGCTTTTGTGTTACATTTTGTTCTTTTTTTGTGTGTGTGTGTGCTAGTTAAGTTTTAAAATTGGCAAGCATGAATCTTCTAATTTAGTTCTTTTTCAAGATTATTTTGGCTCTTTCCCTTTGCATTTTAGGATCAAGTTTATTAGTTTTTGTCATAAAGGCAGACTTGGCAGTTGGATGCTGATGGCTTTGATTCTGTAGAATGATCATCTGGGTAGTATTGCCAAAAGTTACAGGTTTTTAATTGGAAAAATTTCACCAAGCAATTGTTATCTGTACTGGGAACAGTGCATTCTGAATTTTTCTTCTAAATCCTAATGTGGTGTGCTCACCTTCCCTACACTTTTTAACTTTTAAAAAATTGACAGCAAATTTAAAACTCTCGACTAGTGGTCCCTACACACAGAGGCCCAGCTGGTCATCGTATAGGTCGAGCATTGGGGTTTTAAAGACTCCCCCGTTTGATTCTGTGTGCAGCTAGAGTTGAGAACCACTGCTGTTAACTAAAGTGGGGGTCATTTACCACTTTCACAGCCTTTGCATAGTTGACTACACATACTACTGACAAGGAAAAATTCAAATCACTAGCTGTAGATCCTCACATGAAGCATTTTTTCCATTTGGTAGGAATGTGAAGGGAAGCGGTCAGCATGTACAGCTTTTGAACAGTGTTTATAAGTGTTAACAGTGTTTATAACAGTGTTAATAAGATTCTTCTATTTCAATATAAGAATTGTCTAACTGCTTTTAAACAGGAAGAGTTCTGACTAGAAAAGATTAAGGGCTAATATTTCTATTTTCTTTACTGAGAACATCCAAAAAAATTTTTTTTAGACTATTGCAAAAATGCAACAAAGTTTAATAAAATGTAAGACCCACTTTTTCTATCTTAGTGACAATGCTGGGGGGGTGGGAGGTCGTGGATGCAACTGACTTCTCTGGTGCACAGGGCCCCTGCTCATCCCCCACCCAGGCTGCTCTCAGGGTGCTAGTTCTGAGCACTCTTCGCCACCAATCTGACATTTTTCTGTTGTCGTGCAGTTGCGTATCCACACACGCCCTTGTCATAAGATTCACAAAGGGAGCGTGTCCTCACTGTTTTGTGTGGCCATGTCCGTCAACATTTAGTCAATGGTAACTTCTCATCCATAATTATGGTGCCCATTGGGCACACGCTCCAGGATGCCTCCCGGTGAAATGCATGCTCTTCCTCATACTCGCCCGTGTGTGTACTTTCTCTTAATGAGATCGTCGAGAAAGTCATGGTTTTGCTCTTGACTTTCTCCCAGGTATGTGTAGTTCTCCCTGCACTAAATAGAAAGTGGGGAATGGAACAGCATCCTGAGGAGAGGGTCTGATTTCTCAGGGATTTTTGGATCCATGGGCATTTTGCAATAGGAAGTGGAGTGATTTGAGTTCGAATATGCAGGGGATTCACAGCTGTTTGAGGGGTTGTCATATAGAGGATGCTCAAGTTATGGTACAATTACTACTGAAGTATGTGAAGTTTTGGGTCAGAATTAAAATCAGAATTACCAGAAAACTAACTGGGATTGATGTCTGGTTTTAGATAAAGCATACATAAGGTTTTAAATTAGGTTTTAGATATTAGTTTTTAAATTAGGTTTTAGATATTAGTTTTTAATATTAGGTTTGTGGTGAAAGCTCATACAAAATAGCCTGTTTTTAGCTCTTCAAATTTTCTTACTTTCTGCATTATCTGAAGTTTAGTTTCTGTGCAGTGTATATTTGTTTTAAAGTGAAGATCATACAGGGGCTTTTAAAGGCTTTTTTTTTTTTTAAAAACTTGGTACATTTTAGGCATATGATGAAATAATTAAAGTACTTTTCAAACATGCTTTTTAACAGCTCGTTTGTGCTGAATGCATCATGTTTTACTTGACAAATCCTTCTATTGTTGGACATTTAGCTTATGAGCTTATGAGCTCATGGAACCTCAATCCTTCTCACCCCCAAAATGTAGTACAATGGTGAACTAAAATGGAAATCTATGTTCACTTTTCCTGACTATTTAGAGTACATTTTTGATAGGACTTAATTTGCATTTTTAAGGTTTTTGACACATAATATACATGCCACATATTTCTCGCATCCAGGTAAAAACACAGGGAATTACTGCCTTATGTATGCTTTTTCTTTTTCTTAAATTGGGTGAAGAGTAGAATCATGTTTGTTTTGCTCTTCTCTGATAACTAGTGAGCTTGAAAACTTTTTTCAAACATTTTTTTAGGTTTATCTATTTATGCATACAGAACTGGGGTACAGGCCAGAGCTGCAAAGGCGGTGAGAGGATTCACTAGCAACAGAGAGGGGAGCAGAACAGGCAGATCCACTGAAACACACTGCTGAGAGGAGCAGCGGGCGGGTCAGGAGAGGTCTGCTGTGCCATGTGGGTCACTTCCCTGGCCAGGGATCAAACTCTGTGCCGAAACGTCTGGGGTTAGCTTCATAGTGCTGCACTTTAACCTACTGAGCCACCAGGTAGGGCCTAAGCTTGAAAACTTTTGAAGTATTTTGGCCATTTATATTTTATTTGACTCATTTCCTTTACCAGTTTTTCTAGTCTCATGTAGGTCTTGCCTGCTGCATTGCATCAGTTCTGGTATTAGCTGAGCTTATTACTAAACTGGTAACTGCCACTGGGCTGCATTTTTAAGTCGGGTCATTTTGCCAGGAATTTACTTGGCATTACTCCTTAATCTTCAGGTGCACTTGACCCACTTGGCTGCTGGCACAGCACACCTGGCCTTCAGGCCTGCACCGCTTGGGATGTGGCCCCAAAGATCCGAGGGGCAGCAAGGACCATGGGCTTTGCGCATCCTAGACTAGAGCCGAGCTGATCCTAATGCTGGTAGCATCAGATCCAGAAGGGGCTGGGGCTGGGGACCACAAGCTACTGCTGAGCCACTCATCTGTTTGAGAGGAAGGGAGTAGGTACTGGGACTAAAAGAGCCACACCCCCTTCCATTGTTGGGGTTGGGGGCCTCCTTTGATTCCCTTTCGGTCAGCTTAGAGATGGCACCTCTAGCTTATGTATTGAACAGACACATAGCACATTTATGCAATAAATAAATGAATATCTGTAAATAACTAAATGAGTACCTGTGGATGATGTTAGTGATGATCCAATTTCAGAAATAGAATGTGACTCGGCTTTTTGGAAAACCCCCCTTGCAATTTTAAAAGATTTTAGAAGGTGACATTTTGAGTAACCACTTCTGTTTTCCCCACAAGTACTTGATCTTTAGTTTGTTCCAGTGAATGCATGGGAGGCAAACAGAGGGCCCAAAATCAAAGCAAGGGTCCTGCTGCCGTCGTCTAATGAGCCAACCCTGTGTCGCCACATCTCTCAAGCTCTGGGACCTTCACTGGGAAATACCATCTTCTGGTGTTTTCGTGCCTGCTGGTTCTCAGGATTGTTGTGCAGATGAAACACATGAGATGTTGCACAATGCTTGCCATATAGTGAGGACTAAGGAAGTTTTTAGAAAGTTTACACACACACATACACACACCAAATCCAGGTCCTGTGCTAGGGGATATGGATATGGAAAAAATCTCAGCTAATCCCCCAGGTTTCCTAAAATTCCACCTTTGAAAATATTTCATGTAAATGAAGTGATTTTTTTTTAAATGTGGAAGAACTGGGGTACAGGCTAGAGGTGCAGGGGGTGAAAGGATTCACCAGAGACAGTGGGGAACAGAACAAGCAGATCTACTGAATTACACGGCTGAGGGGAGCAGCGGGTGAGATAGGAGAGGTCTGCTGTGCCATGGGCATCAGCTCCTGGGCCTGGGAGTGAGCTCAGGCTGAAGAGGCGGTAGAACTGAGGCTTAATCCCTGGGCTGTAAGGAGGCCTAAGTGAGTGAGCTTTTTTTTTTTTTTTTTAAAAATTTATTTATTAATTCA